GGCGCCGCCCGTGAGCCATGGCCGCTGGGCCTGCACCTCCGGAGCCTGTGCTCCGCAATGGGAGAGGCCAAAACAGTGAGAGGCCCATGTACCGAAAAAAAAAAAAAAAAAAAAAAAAAAAAAAAAACTGTTAAAAATTGGAAAGCATAATTATTTTTTCAGTAATTGATGTTAATTAACTTTTCCCAGTTTTAGGGGCTGGAGATATTATCTGGGGTCATTTTTGTATAATCTCTTGCCAAATTATTCAGTTGTTTCTTTGAAATTATTTTCTCTTTCCTTCCTTTATTGACTGCCTCACCTTAATCCAGTGCTATCACCAACTCTCATCTGGATTACTGAAATGGCTTCCTAGCTGGTCTTCCTGCCTCTAATCCCTTTATTTCATCTCCCCCTCTCTATATTCAGATTAATGTCCCTAAATTTTTACCAATAGAAGAATCTGAATTGACTCCCTACTATAATCTACTGCTAGTCTCTTTTGCTCACTTTTATGTTTCCCTACTAATCTGGCTGGATCATACTTACCTACTTTTTATACATTTTTGTTCTCTGTCCAAATTCTCAATTTTGTGCTTCATTTAATTGAACATATTAAGCATAGTAATTTTAAGGTCTGTGTCTGATAACTGTTAATGTGTTTCTAATATCTTTTGGATTTTGATCATTTGTGTTTGTCTCCTTGAGTGCCTGGTTTACTTTAACATGTGCCAGAAATTGTATATGAAAAATTATAGAGATAATTTGTGGGTTAGGACATTATTTTCTTCCAGGGAGAAATTACCTGTGTTTCTGGCAGAGGCTAAAGGCAGACCTTATTCTACACTGTTGAAGCTGAGTGATGTGTAAAATTTTTCATAATAAAAACTTTTTAAAATTAGCTTGAAGTCATACAAATTACAACTACACTTGTCTTCTGAGAGAACTATCCATTGTTTTTGTAAATTAAAAAAAAACCTTAAAGAATACAGCAATAGCCTATTTATCTGGGTTGTATATTATGGATTAAAAGGGAAAGGAGTAACAAGGAAATACTTGGAGAAAAAATAAAAAAAGAAAGACCCATTCATAATGTCTGTCATCTCTGTACTCATTATATACCCTAATCTTAAAATTAAGCCATTACCAAAGGTAAAATGGCATGGCTGCCTTGGAAAACAGTTTGGCAGTTCCTCAAAAAAATTAAATGTTGAATCACCATGTGATCCAGCAATTTCATTTGTAGGTATATACCCAAGAGAATCATATGTTAACACCAAAACTTACCCATGAGTGTTCTCAGGAATATTATTCACAGTAGCCACAAAGTGGAGACAACTTAGATGTCCATCACTTGATGAGTCAATTAACAAAATGTAGTCTGCCAATTCAGTGGAATATTATTCAGCCACGAAGAGGAATGAAGTACTGACACATGCTAAAATACAGAGTGAACCTTGAAAACATGCTAAGTGAAGGAAGCAAGTCACAAAAAGGTGACATAGGATTTCCTTTATGTGAAACTTCCAGAATAAGCAAGTCCATAGCAATAAAGCCTACTAGTAGTTGCCAAGGACAGGGAGAAGGGGAAGGGGAGTTATGGATAACAGATGTGGGATTTCTTTTCAATGGGATAAAAATGTGGTGATGGTTGCACATCCTTGTGAATATACTAAAAAGCACTGAATTGTACACTTTAAAATGGTAAATTTTATGGTATGTGAATTATAACTCTGTTAAGAAAAACTATATAAAGTGATTCTTTAAAAAATTTTAACCTACTGCCTTAACATTCTAAGTCAACATGTTTAACAAGTTAATAAATAAGCGTATTTCTTCTTAGCTTGCCCAGTCTCCTATCTCAGATGTGTAGTCTCTCACATTGTCTTGTTCTTTTGAGTTCTTGGTGTTTTATTTCCATGTGCAATCTGCAGATTTTTAAATTCTGAGTTCATCTAGCTAAAAGTTGGAAGGAAGGGTTATGAATGGCCTGGCAGTAGGCTGTTGATGATCCAAGTCTGTGAAAGCTTCTCTCAAGGCTCCTTCAGGCTTCCTTCTGCGTGTTTCTAGGAGTTTCAGTGGTTTTGGACAAGTTTTTAGGTTAATTTCTTGGCTTTTTGTTTCCTTACCATCCATTGTAGGTAGTGTAATTTTGGATCTTATATCTGTGTACCTTACTGATGTATTCTTTTGAAGGTTTAAGAGTAACTTCCCCACCTCCCAACCTTGCCATGATAGATGGCAAAGCTCTTCATTGCTTCTCTAGGATTCTTCTGGCCTCTGATCAAGGAGCACTTGGCTCTGGGGTTTTCTGCAGGGGAGGTTTCTACCTGCCCATAAGCTTTAGGTATGATTCCCTCACACCCCACTCTTGT